GGGCGCCGATATCCCGGCGAAGAACGGCGCTACCTTAACAAACGGCTATAAACACTCCAACGAAAAAGACCTAGAAAATGGACAGGGACAACTGGTGACAGTGTGTCCGAAGAAAGCAGCGGAAGACGAGCCATTGTGGAAAACAGTAGTACGGATAACGGGTTGTTTTTGCGCTGGGTTAGTCTTCGGTATTGTGCTGGAGAAAACAAGGGGTAAGTTTAAGTGTAGTGCAATCATATATTACAGGATTCAGACTTTGAAATAGAGCAGGTGGCCCTCGATCGCCACAACTTAACAAATTAGCAATGTGTTATCAGTGGTTAAGCATTATTATGACATAAGCGCTATTTGCTCGGTCGTTAATATTTTTAACTGCTGAAGTGTGTGCTAAATTCGGTGACAAAACATCGGCTTTTTGGGGTAATTTCGTTTAATTGCTCCATATAGCCCGATGCTCTGGGTCAGTTCTCGTATTTGACAAATAGCTGAAACACAGGCGTCCGATGACGCCATGCCTTGAACGGAAAAGTCTGCAATGCTTGGCTTTATGAGCCTCGGTTTGCTACAAAATGTATTTGCTAGTATAAATTTAGAGTCGGTAAACTTAGTTTCAATAAAAGGTTCATTTCCCGAAGCGAAATTTAAATTGATGCATTATGTCAATTACAATATCAGACAGTCCTTTACCGATTTAATCATATCCAAACTGTTTATTCTGTGTAAACGTCACATAATCACTATAACTTCGTTTGTACATTAAAAAACGTAATCTACTCCATTTCAAATCTTTACTCTTATATGGGAGAGGCAGGCTTGACAATGTATTCTACATCTTATTAAAAAAAAAAGGTTCTGAAAAAATAAAATGGGTCGCAGAACCCCTACCACCGTAATTTAGTAGAGCATAAAAACGTCAGGTTACAATATACTTTAAAGAAACAAATGCGTGAACAACCATGGTGTCGACCTTAAAGGGCGGCAGTCGTCGCGCTGAGTCCTGTTCGATTTGGGACTCATAGCGACGTATACAACGCATGTAAAATACATTGTTTATTTACATGAAATTCGAACACGCGCTGCGCGACGACCACCGCGCTTTAAGTGTTTATATAGTCCACAGTATTTGGATCAATTTTAAAATCGATTTAAACTTACTGTGTGTGGATATCTAAGCAATCTGAGCGCACATGCGTTATATTAGCCTTCTTTCCGGCGATGGAGTAGTATTGATTTTTAAGTCAATTTCTGGAACGAGATTAAATGTGTTTTTTCATCTCGTCTTGAGTATCAATTCACTGACTGGTTGCTAGGGACTTTGTCTTTCGATGTAATTTTCATAACGTATACGAATAGTGGCGGCGGTCTTCATTTTGAAACGTGGACATATATATTCTGAGACACCAGTCAGAGCAACTATATGTTAATTCAACACCAACCTGTGTTTATTATCTAACTCGATTCGGGTGGCGACGACCGATAACCTACATTATACAGGTCATTCTGTAATGTGTAATTTATTATAACGTCGGGGATCATGTAGGTCGTCGACATTAGTGTTCTTCAAGGACCATTTTGTCGTCATGGTGATACTATTTACATTATTTAAATATACTCATAATATCATGAATTAATGTATACGTTCTAAAAAAAAATTGGGATGTTACGGCATTCGTGAGTTATACTGATCGGAAGCTGACATGTTTATTGACTAAATTATTCATTGTCTTCACTACAATCAATCTTACCATGCATTTCTGTTCAAATTCCTTTTCGGGTACGTGCTGAACGCAATTAACCTATATGAAGTACGGGAGGTTCGATGTTTAAAGTTTGCTCGCACGCAATATAGTCGTATAAATTCGAATGTGAGTGACTTGATGGATAATACAGAAAAAGACAACTCAAGAGTCTGGCGTGCATCACATCGAATATTAATTTGATAAATATAGTCCATATTGAAATTATATTTAATAATCTTACTAGAATAACAATTCCAGAAAAAGTTACACTAAGGTATGGGCAGCGCTACGACCACCGCCCTATAGCCATAAAATTACAGGCATTAAACTGTAGAAATCATTATACTATTAACCAAAAAAATGTGTAAGATGTTGACAAGTTCAAGGGCAGGGAAAACATGATAAACAAATCAAGTCTGAAACTTTACATGGGATTCAAAACTAAGTAAAAAGAAACGTGACAAATATTTCTAAACTCATTATACAACTTTAAATTAAAGACACAGCTTAAGTTTAAATCAAGATCGTATACCACTTACTAGGCATACGAGAAAAGTAAACGGACAGGTTGAAGAAACAGAACTAATTATTTTGAACTGTAACTATGAGTGAAACCTTATAGAGCAGTAATGAATCGCACACGTGGAAGGACGTTTCACATTGCAATGAGTTGATATTTGTCCGAGGGACCCTAGTTAGGGTTAGAATGTTGATTTGTATAGAAAAATAGATGTTTAGGCAATTCCTTACTAATGCAGTAGAACTAAGAAAATCACATATGCAATTTTCAAATATCGTTAGAACTAGCTTTATGAAAGTACTTAGTATTTGTGCCTTCAGGCGTATTTTGTTTTTAATTGATTTTTTCCCTGTACGTGTACATTTATAAATTTTAAAAAAGGTTAAATGCTATAAACACAATTTTGCTGCTGTATTATGTTATTGACCAGAACAATGCACTTTGCTATTTTCCAGTTTTTGAACCTAATTCAATCCGTTACCAGTTTATCTACCAGAAATGGATAATGATGAAGATGTTTCTGGCCGCTGTTATGGTCGGCCTGCTTTGTTTTTGTCTCATGGCGCATCTTCCGGCAACTAAAGACCTGTTCCAAAGGACGCGGGCAAGTTACTACGCGACGTTTACAACTAAAGGCCTCCTCACTATATGTGTTGGCGGGTTTCTCCTCGGCGCGGGCATGGAGCTGGCAGCGGCGGTAAGTGCAAGTATACACGGGTTGTCACACAAACAAGGTGCATTTTTGTTAGGCGGTCAAGTACTCATAGTTATTGCTGTATATATTGTCACATTGTAAAGCGCTGGGTGAAGCCTGGACGGTGTTATCACTTCAAAGTTTCTATTACACCTGTTGTTGCTTTCTTCACAGTGTCCCGGAATGGTGCTGGCTCAAGTAGGTGCCTGGGTTGGAGGAGGTCAAGCACGTAAGTAATATTGTTGGCGTTTGACCTAGATACCGCTAAACTGGGTTACGAGTGTGTTCACAACTCCCATCGCCTCCTGTCACTTTGGCATTGCACCGTCCTATGTGACGTAATTAAGTTGGTGTTCGGGCGTCTTTTTCAGTGACGATATAGTCTTAATCTGCGTTTGTCATTTAATAAAAAATAAAAATAAATGACCGAGTTTTCCGTTTCAATGACAATGCACACGTCATTGTGAGCGTAGTTTAATCAATATGTATACTTATTCGTTGTTTTAATATAACAACGTAAATTGTTAAAGCGGGAGGATCGTCACCTGCGCACGCGCGGGAATTGAGTCCCAAGTGACAATAACAACACACGCAAAAAACGCAAAGGCTCATGGGTAGACGCTTGTTTGTAAACAATGACACGCTATGGCCATCTGACGCATGCGCAGGTGACGACTCCCCGCTTTAATTCATTAAACAATCTGTATAATTATGCACTATGGGATATTCTTCTTCATCTTGACTATGTTTTTGGTTTCAGTAATGACGGTGTTTGGCTGTCTCGTGGGCGCGTTCACGTACGGGTTCTGTGTACCAGGCGTGAATAAATACATGGCACCCAAAGAATCGTACGAAAAACACCTGTAAGTAACTACGCACGCGCACTAACGATGTTTCGTCATTTTGTCGAAAATTAAATAACGAAAAAAATATTTAATTATTTTCACTATTTTGCTGATTCAGTGTCGACGACTACATAAAGTGGCCGTTTGCAGCATTGGCGTTGCCGTTTGCAGTATTGTTGTTCGTGATTATATTCGTACTGGAATGGTTCTTTCCGTGGGAGACAGAACTTGAGGTAAGCGTGTGTAAGCATGCATATGGCAGGGCCAGGGGCTCACCCTTGGATAGTGTCGTTCTGTATGCACGCCGTGTTAGTCGTTTAAGATAATACCATAAAGAGAGTACACGAGAGAAACCATAAAATAACATAGCAAAAAAAAAATCATTTTATTCTTGTGGATTGCGTTTTCAACTTGCACTGTTTGGTTTTTGTTATTTCCAGTTCTTTTAAACCTATTTGAGGAGCTCATTTTTTTTTACAAATAATTCAAGTTCAAGACAATCAAACGTACCCTGCCAGTCACAATATATACAATTTTCACGACGCAACATATGTAAAGATGTAACAAACTTATTTAGCACTGAGATTGTACGTTGATTCTGATTGCAGGATTACATCACCAATCGGACAGATGACGGAGTGTTTATGACGGCACTGGCGTGGCCGCCATGGATTGGAGGTAAGGATGACATTGTACAGTGACCATTAATATTATTCCAACGCCGGCGTGCGGTGGGAAATATTTGGTATACGATACAAGAATCGTTTAAGGTTTTAAATGAAACAGCATTTTTGAACAAAAGTACACGACATTGCTTATACACATTCAGAATCCTTTTTTTTAAATCAATGTTGCGAAATTAACATGATTGTGCGTGTGACTTGAACACAACTCTTCAAGTGTGTTGTATTTCATGTTTTTTCAGGTGGTGTCATCGGTCTGTTGCAGTTAGCTATTATGTTTAGTGTGGCCGATACCCTGGGTGGTAGCAGCAGTTACACGACGGTGGCATCGCAAGTATTGGTCACAAAACGAATGGAATCATGGTCTCCATACTTAACGAAATTCAAGAGAGGCATTGGTAACTGGTGGCAGGTTTGTTCTCTGAATTGTTTCTGAAATAATATCAATTCTCTAGTTGTGCGTAAAACTAGTACTAGTGGTTCATTAATTACTTGGGATAACATAATTTCTGCTGCATCATGGGTAAAACATGTCTTCGGTTCGTGTGTTATATGCCGATTTTTTTATTTGGTATTCTCAAAAATAGAAAGTTAAAATCAATAAACATAGTAGAGAATATAGTTTAGAAGAAATGTATTGATCGGGGTTCTCTTCTCTGTAGGTAATTTACGTGTTGGGTGCGGTTGTTGGCGCTTTCATATCTGCATTGTGTTCCGGTGCACTAGCAATTGTCCCCGGAATCAGCCTCGTTTCGTCGTTCTTCGGAGGCTTTATCATGTTATTCGGGTCAAGGCTCGGTTCTGGATGTACAAGGTGAGTTATCTTCTGTGTCGTTCAACAATCCTAAATTTTTACAGTGGAGGGGTTTGTATAAATGCCACGTGTACTACATAATATGTGACTTTAAAGTCCGACCTCGACGGGGTACTAGAGCGATTGTTTTCGTGAGAGTGGTGAGGTATTATACAGTTATTAGCATCAACTGAGGACAATATCAAGAATTATTTTACTCAAGTGACTGTTATTGGCTGAATGCTGATGCAAAAAAACAGCCACTTTTGGCGGTAATTTATAACAGTATAGTATCCTGTTGCAAGCACGGCCCCGGGAAGCGGGATGTACTTATTTATAGCGGAGAGAATGGAGACAACAATCAGTATGATTGATCCTCAGACTAGTGATAGATTGATCCTAGTGAATTAATATGCAAATGAATGTCTGAAAAAAAAATGTGTAAATACATATCACTGAATAAGTTAATAGAGTTATTAATTATGTCATTTTAATCTCAACATCAACAGTGGCCATGGATTGTCTGGTATGGGTCTGCTAGCGTTGCTGTCTTTCGTCGCGGTGGCTATGATGTTCGTCGGCGGGTCGACACTTGGATTCTTTTTCTACGCGCTCGACGTTTCAGCCGGTGTCTTGGACTATTCAACATTTTAAGATGTCTCCGCTTGCTGACTCCCGTCATCTGTGGTGTTGAATCAGTACCAAATATTTTTTTATAGAAATGCTGTCGATCAGTGAACACTTAAGCCATTTTATGGTATCAATAGTCGTCATGATTAAGAGCTTTTGATGGCTGTATGCGCGCAGCACTATGCAAAACAATTTTTTATTTACAATGTATATATATCATGTGAACACGAGTTTTCGATGCGAAAAAGTGTTATTTTAGAGTTGTGGTGTGGTGATCTGAACTGACTTAATTTTTTAAATATATGTGTATGTCCATAAGAAATTATGAAAGCGGACACGTTCCACCGTTATGATAATTTTACACTAGTATCCACAAATAGTCGGCCGATTTGAAAAAACAAGTATTTATGAATAAGTATACGAGGCATACAAATTGGCGATGCTGGTTAAGGCTTTATGTCGCTTATTTTCACGAACTTCTATTTCGCCAGAAATACGTATCCTGCGAATTACTAGTATTTGAAATGAGTTCACGGTTTTAGAGCGGTTTCATTTGTTTATGATTGAGCTCTACTTTCAATCCTTAATAGAGCTGATGAAATAGACCAGGATACCCGTATCAATAATTAGAACATTTAGAAAATAAAACAATATATATTGGTACATAATATGTAGAAGGTACGTTGCCAGTGATTAATAACTTTATTCTTTGGAAGGCCGGGTACACTGTTCAAATATTATCCCCGGTTTGTTTTCATGCTATAATTTTATTTTATATTTAAAAACAAAAAACGTTTCAAATATTTTGTTAATTATTATTTCTGTGAATTCAAAGATTTAAAAACTGTTTTCCAGATTATCGAGTGCTGAAGTCCCGGTGATTCCGAACAAATCCACTTTGTATGCTACGTTCTATTAAGTCACTCCCTCTGGCTATATTTCTCATCAACGTCGTCTTGGCGCCACAGTAACACGTGGTGCTAGAGGCTGGTAACGTTGGTTACACAGTGGATGTTTGAAAATGTTCTTCGGATTAAATACAGGTTGAAAATGTCTACAGAATTACGAATACTGCCTAGAAATAATGTCGTTGTCAATAGCGCGTTAACGATGAGCATAACCATTACTGTATCAACCATTACGTAATATAGTGGTCGTGAGCAATTTTCAAGATAATTTTGATTAATATAAATTATTTATTTTGTACAGAGAAAATATTTTTTTCTTATAATATTTTAGAGTTATTATTTGCCAAGTTTGTTTATACGAAACAAACTGAATATCAGTACTATAATTTGTTTTCATTGTTTGTGATTGTTGATGACTTTTTTTAACAAATAAACAAATTTTGTCCGTTTTTTTTTTTTTTTTATATCTTGAATTACCAATCCGTGATTATGATTGTTTAATGCAACGCAGTGTAGCAGTAAATTGCGATGAAACTGGTCACAATTTATTTTGCAAACAGCTATGGGCTAAAATAATGTTTGCCAATGTTTGGACATAATCAGTGGTTTTCGTGGTTTACGTAAAATTCGGCTAAAATTCCATAGTTATAAGTATATTTTCTTTAGCTACACAAAAAAAAATGCACGTAAATCGCGGTATGTGTTGCCTTGTTACACGCCTTTGCTTATAAAAACGCACCTGTTTGTCGAACCCAGTCGCTTGGTGGCGCACTATACTATGCATACATCATTTCGACTACGGGCGACCGTGTAAAGTTGTTATACTTGTTTTTTGCTTAATGATGCCAGCTAACTGGGACGTTTATCAACCGCCATCTTCATCTGTCTATAACACCCTATGCTCACTGCCTATTGTTGCATACGAAGATGAAGATGCATGAAGATACCAACCTCAAGCATTGTCTTATTTGTGAAATAGTATATAGAACGTAACTAGGACTGTTTAAAAATAACAGTAAGAAAAAAATTGAAATGGAGGGAAATTGTTTATTTGAAGTAGGATAATTTTCACTCGGTTTATTTTTTTTTTACGGTTATAAATTAATAACAGGTAGACGTTATGATAGTGCTTACTAATTTGCGATTTAGTGGATATTATTACTAGACGTCGTTGTTACCTCTGGATGTCGAATATATTAAAAATAGTAACTGGCTTCTAACAATTATTCAAGTAATAACATTTCACCAAAGGCCGAGAAATATCGGATAATTCACAACATATGTCTATATCTATATGTGGTCTTTCAGTTCGGTCCATAAAGTGATTACAAAACAAAGAACATTTGTGCGTCTGTATAGTAAATATTACAATAAATCTGAAATTTCGTACCTAACATTTAATGTATGGAATACATATTCACCAAGGCGTTTCAAAATGACAACATGTGATTTCATTAAAAGAATAAATTTGTTGAAAGACGGTGGATCATAGAAGTAACCGACAGGGTAGATATCTATCACGAAATTCATTATAAAAAGGGCAGACTGACAGGAAGTTGTGTTCATCTTCTCTTTGGTTTGTTTCACAAAGTTGACATATCCTTTAGTTTCTTTCGATTGCTCCTCTACTTACTTCAATGCGAAGACAGTGTGCCGAGCAGTGAAAGCGTGATATGGCATTTTTGTGTGAAATAACAGTCATGGAAGTGATATATTTCTCTAATATTAGATTTGTTTTAAATTCACGATATGTATCTAATTTAGTCATGGTACAAATATCACGAAACCACTCACTGTACAAATAATTTATAAATCTTTCGCAAAAAATGTCCAAGAATAAGTTGATATTACCAACTTTTTGGGACTACCATATACATGAGGCATACGCGAGTAGACATTCACCGATGCCAACGCTGATTGGGGAAAAACCCTGTAAAAATTAATGTGTGTTCGTCCACGTCGGAAAATCACTGGAATATTCTGTGTTCTGTGCTCAAGTCAAAACATGTATTTTGTCGTATTGATACATGATCACAGCTTACTGATTTCAAAAAATAAAGCACGTCGGTCAGATATAGTGCGCCCTCATACCTGGGTGTTTCAAATTGCGAGTCAATGTATCTTTCACTCAGCTGGAATATGGTCCTACCCTGACGTTGAAATCTATATCTTCGACTACCGTTCTAGTGCGGATATGTGGTTGAGCTAAATTTTATACGTGAAGATTTCTATGGGATAATTACAATTACATGTCACTGTATGAGATCGTTTGTGAATCAAATGAGCACGGGACATTTGAGAGCGTCCTCACTAGACGGAGTGAGTTTTTGTATATTCTAAGACATTTTATAAGGTTATTTATTCATAATGATCGCTATGATTATGCATTATTCCAATCAGCCATCTGTCTTCTCTATGATTACGGCAATATTATATAATAATGATAGTTATCATCGCAGTTATTAATTGTGGTGCTCCAAATATGTCTCCCCGTGGATTACTGTGAAATTCGTATTGGGTGAAACAGCAAGCCCGGGTATCACAACCTGGCGCCCACAGCAATGTCAATGCTCGTATTACTTGGGCGCCATTAGTAAGATTGTTTTGTTATCGATATTTCAATGAAAGGAATATATAAGTAAAACATGTTGAAAAAGCGACATACAATTTTAGCGAATTGTGGTAAAATGACGTAATAGCGAAATGTTGAATCTCTCTTGTCTTTAATGTTTTCTTTGCTGCGTTACATCAAGAATATCATGATTGACATTTTATATTGGAACTCAAACATTTCTAATTACTACTAATTTCTTTAATAATGTATCAGTATCACTCATTTATGGTATTTTCATTGAATTAATAACCACAATGAATACGTTTAATTTTTGTGTTAATTTACTTTTCAATAAAGTGTATTGATGTGTTTTCTGTGTGTTGTTTACAAAGTGTGTGTGTGTGGCGTAAAAGACGTTGTTTGGCCGCCATTTTGAATTTATAATGAAGTCATTAGCGACATCTTAAATTAGCGAATTAGTTCTCTCGCTAAATTCTCTAAAAAACATACTCGCGAAAAAGACATGTTTTACAGTACACTGTGATTTTAAATTAAATACAACCCGAGGCAGTAAGGATTTATAAAAATACCGAAAAAACGAAAGTATAAACAGCCTTGATTCAAGTAAAATTCTTGAAGATAATAACAATCAAGTCAAATCAAAATTTGAGCTGGAAAAGCAATGTTCCAAACACTGTGCACAATTAAATTCAGATATAAGAAAAAAATACATTCAAACAATCAGAATCATGTTTCATACAGCATAGTGATGAACCTGGTGCAATGACGCCATCAAAAATCTAAAAATGCGATTATTCGATCATTACTTAAACTATTTAATTTAGGTCTTGAAAGTTCAGCATTCAGACCGTGACTGCAAGTGTAATAAATAAATAAATAAATAAATAAATAAATACTAATAGTTATTCATAAATGTTAATGTTCCTACCAATCCTCATTTAATATTCATTTTTTTAATTTTAAGTGCGGCCTTTTTTACAATGGCCAGAGTGGTATTATATATTTCATGTGTTCAATATTCTTCGGGGCATTTATTAACGATCTGACATATCATTTATAATATTTCTCGTACAAATATAGACGTGTTTTATAATTTGTAATTAGTACACGCACTTCTGACGTCATCGTGTAATCATGCTATAATCACTTTCTAATTCACCACCAGTGTGTACATAGCAAGGATTGTACTACAGTCGCTGTCATGGCAACGATATAAATGAGCTAAATATGAGACTATTTCACGTCCGTCGGTGTTATTTCAAAGATACTCTATTCAAGTTATAAATATGCTGCCATGGAAACCACTATAACGAGCTCATCTTTATTTCAAAATCTGTCTGACGTGACGCGCTCTTTACTGTTAAATTAAAAGTCATTTACATAAATTACACTGCGGCAATATGCTGGATAAATAAATATACATCTATAATATAACGTGTCTCCCTATTTCTGAGTTATGGTTTACCGCTGGTGAGTGTGGTTCCGTGAAAAGCGCGAAATTATAAATAGACTCACTGATTCTTGGCATTTCAAATTCCCATTGTGCGCTAGTACGTGTGAAGTGGTTAGAAGTACGTTACTGGTCACAGATCTCAGCGTCATTGACCTCCGGCGATGACGAGTGTATTTTTTGTTTACATCCAATCTTAGTGTCGAACAAATTCTAATCGAAGTATAAAGATGCTATTATATTTTGGAATACACCAAGTAATAGTACAATCTCAGGGCGACAGCGAGTGTTGTTATGGAAACGAGTAAATGAAACGATTTCGATATTCCTTCAAGATGAGTTCGCAACATGCTGCACTTTTTTACATTTATTGGGGAAGGATGGTATTTATATCTGAATTAATATATATAAACGTATCACGAATCTGTATACAGACGCGCACAGTGAGTGACAAGAGAAAGTGGGGCATACGGAGACCCACCACGTGTGTTGTTATAATCTTTTCTTTTTAAATACACGAATAAAAGGGAATAATTGTACTAGATGAAAAACCGAGATACGTGAATTGAATTCAGCGACCTCTCAAACGTAATGTACACAATTCCCCCTCTGTTCTGCGACTTTGTGGGCGTGGTCTATTTTCCCAAACAACTGAGGACAGTTTAGTCTGTAGACTCCCTGATTACAAAGTGTAAACACGGTATGAATACACACGACTAGAGCTGACCACGCCTGGTTGAATGTTGAATAAAAATATAACGATTTTGTTTTATTCATTTTTATATTCAGCCGAAATTCGATATTTGAACGGTTCTAGCTTGTTTATTTATTATGACTGGAAGGCACAGCGCCCTCATAGGTTAGAGTCATAGTTCGGCCCAACCTTTGAACCATTAACTCGTTTTCTGCGCAAAACGTAATCCAACTTTGAAGTGGTCACGGGTAAATAATAAAATGGAATTATGACATAACTGCCTGTGATTTATTGTCAAACATATTAATTCTCCATTTCAAAGTAGGGGTGGGGGTCATGCTTGCCCGTGAGTACTGTGAGGCAAATATAAACGCGGTTGTTTTGTTTTTCTTATATATATCGTGACTTAAAACTGAAACTCGCGTTTTCTCGTGAACATTCGATGCAACCATTGCTCCGTACGGGGGTGCCTAGGGTGATTTGAGTGGGCGGGTCTTATACAGAAGAAACTCCGAGTCGTCGGATTTATATTGTTCCTTTGAGCCAACGCCGACCAATTATTTCACGAGTCGCCTATTTTGAGTACTTATTTTCCTCACGTGACCTCCCTGTATTTTAATTAGAATAATTATTTCCTGGTGGGAGTGCCGCGTGGACTGTGTCAAGTACTATTTACCAGCTACGGCTACACTCTGCCTGCCTGTCAGTCGATCAGTCAGTTCTAGACTTGAATTGACGGTGGGTGTTGTCGACGAAACAGCAGTTGTATGTGTGTGCAGAGGGTTTAGAAGTGTTGCCTGCTCTCTACAAAACGAAGCAATGTCGAGTAACGGGGTTATAGCAACGGAGAGGAACCTTGTTTTTGGATTCATGAACAGCAGCAAGAAGTACTTGACGCATGAAAAATTCGGTCTGAAAATCAACGCGTTGGGCAAATTTCTGAAAAGCAAACAGAAATGGACAGTGGAGCAACCGGCAGGGAATGACGCCGTTTTTCTGCGCAGTCATCTCAACCGTTACATGTCTGCCGATGAGAAAGGTAACGTGAGCTGTGAGGCGGAGGCGAAGGGGGACAATGAGAAGTTCGTGTTGGAGATAGATAATGATGGGCTCTGGGCGCTGAAGAGTTACTGTCACGGTTACTACTTCGGAGGTACAGACGACACGCTGTCATGTTTCAGCAAAACCAAGGGTGCTAATGAGTTGTGGACAGTGCATGTCGCGATACATCCGCAAGTCCACATCCGCAACGTCAAAGCCAAACGCTATGCAAAAATGGAAGAGAACGAGTTGAGAGTCATTGGAGATCTCCCTTGGGGCGAAGAATCTCTCGTCACTTTAGCTTTTCGCGACGGAAAGTACATGTTTCTTTCGTTCGACGACAAATACCTTCACCGCAATGGCAGTATGGTCGACGAACCTAGCGACGATACAAAATTCGTCATGGAGCTTCACTCGGGCAAGGTGTCGTTTAAGGACTGTGAGGGGTGTTACCTGTCCTGCATCGGCCAGAAAGCCACCATGAAATCGAAAAACAAGTCGGCGGGGAAGGATGAACTGTTCGTGCTGGAGGACAGTTACCCTCAAGGTGTGATCATCGCAAGTAGCGGAAAATATGTGTCTTTAAAGCAGGGTAAGTTTTATAAATATTTACTTTTCCCAGGTGTGCGGTGTATAACACATTCGATCGTTTTCTTCTCTTTACCCTGGCACGGCCCGTGACAGCAAAAAAATACGAGCCACGTCATACACCTGTCGCAACATTTGAGGTATAATGTTCTACGTTGTCCACGGAGTGCAAACACACGTAAATTACAACCCCACACTCAACAAATGTAATAAGAACATATTGCATTGCATTGCAATGGTAACTCAACACAGATGTCGTTAGTGGCGGTTATTTATCGTCAAATATGGGTAGGTTATCGCGTTCTTGAATTATGTTCCTCTACGAGGAACGTTGATGCGTTTGCTATTTTTAGGATCCGGGTTATATAGTATTGTGTTGAAGACGGACTTTAGACATAACGCCGATGCATTGCTGGCACCAATTGTTGGATGCTGCATGTCCTTGCAAAAACTAAATCAAATCAACCGTTTGATTTCGTTTTATACGTGTGAATAATTCCATGTTTTCCCATGCATTCCATGTGAATACTGCATAGGGACGCTCGGCGTGACTGCGTTGGACGAACCGAGTGATAAATAGAACCGATCGGTGTGTGTTGTGTTCGGAACCAAACGCCGTGGGTACAGTGAAGGGTGCATTTATCAAGTAATGGAAGGATCACCTCTGGTTCCACAACGCGGGGTCAAGAGGTCAACAAGATGCGAGTTGACTTCGAAATGACGTGTCTCGGTCTAAGGGTACTGCCAATCATTTGTATTGTACAGTAAACGCAGTCATTAGCTCACAATTGTAATCCTCAGGTTGTAGATGACTACACAATCTGACGAAACAGCTGCGGTCTAATCTTCCAATATATACATAGAAATTGGAGGAGACGCCCTTTAGACACGAGCGTGATATGATATGATATGATATGATATGATATGATATGATATGATATGATATGATATGATATGATATGATATGATATGATATGATATGATATGATATGATATGATATGATATGATATGATATGATATGATGCCCGAGTATGCACGATACGCTAATTTGGTAAATTAATTTTCGATTATTTTTTATTTTATAAAATAAATAGACATCAATGGAAAGAACTTTTCTTATTAGGGCGCGGTTCTTGAAAACTACTTTAATGAAGTAATTACAATTCTCTTACATCGCTGGCTATAAAATTAAAAACATAATTCAATTTGAACTGCGTTCGTGTTAGCCTAATGGGAAGGTTACTTGGCAACAGTGTCATGGTCTTGCTGTGCAGTGCGCGGTGTGCTTTTTCGGGCTCCATGTAAAAATGGGAAACAAAATGCAACGGAGATCAGAACTTTAAGAAAGTATTAAGAAGATATATCCATGCGACTGCTTCGACATCCGTGATCTGTTTCCGGAGATAGGACGGAATCCAGATCTGTGCGGCGGTTGACGTCACGTGGTTTTTGGCATAATACAGCGGGACGCAAACACTTCCTTGCAATCTAGAAACGTATATATATGCGAATTTGCCATGTTCCCATGATGTGTACCGGAATGCGACGTGGTGACGTCACGCTGTCGAGGGTAAACTCTGTTTCAGGAAGCTGATCGCGTCGGTTGACCGGGTCAGTAGAATTGAAAAGATGAGAGAATAAAGCGACTTCTATTAAGGTGCAGGTGGAGAGAACTAAAGAGACGACTGCAGAATTCAGGATGGTGAACAAACTACCAGGAAGCATGCATGAATTAATAACAGGATAAAAAAGGCAGTGTTGAAAAGACGCGTTTTTTTTTCGCCCGATTACCGGGGCATTATGGGAATACATGTACATGTACTGGGAATCTATGTGTCGCCGATTAGCTTAAAAATAGACGCGAACAGTAACACACTAAGCAACATGCAACCAATTTACACATTTGGCTCACGCATTGGAACCTGGTGCACAAAAAACAAAACCTGGTCACCCAACTGGCATCTGGTCCACACACTGGTATACATCCATACATGGACATCCGGTTCACGCAATGCTATCCAGTTCACACACTGACAGCTTGCAAATTATATTATGTAACTGAAAATCTGGCAATAGTGTTTGGATTATTTCATATTTAAAATAATTGTAAGATTCTGAACTGGAAATCTGTTTTATGTCAACTATTTTGTACATACCTATAATTCTTCTCTCAGTATCAAAAAGGCAGCGTGACAATTGCAGCTCACGTGATTTTCGATCCGTGCCCTTCATTATTTTTATTTGTAACAAATTTTAATTACGTCATTATGTCGTGTTGTTTCCGAGTCGGGAAATTGTGAATATTTCACATAACATACCTTCCGGTTACCTTTCTGGTATTCACTCAACCATGTGATATATAACCTGCTATATTCAGACAATGTTCTGTGCGCATGTGATGACATCATCGGTCCAGACCATGGCCGGTGAGATGGAGGCGTGAGTCGTCAAGTTGCAACTAATAACGACACAAGCTAAGCTGATAAGGAATAGGTCGGAGTGGACCCACCCACGGCATTGTCATTCGGTGCACACATTTATAGTCATTGTTACCAGATCAAACAGAAAATTCCCGTTATCTATATGTTAATAAGAAATAATACGTAATATCACTCGAATCTTCTGCGGAATGTGCTCAGCTCAGTTTCCATCGCAAAGGTACATGTATTAAATGAAATTATTGACTTGCTTGCATTTTTAGAGTAGGCGTGAAGTAAATTATATTATATATTTATTGAATTGTGTTTCCCCTGAGACCCATCCAATAAACCTACAATATTGATGTTATATATTTAATATTGCTTGATAAATAAAAACACGAACTGCTCAGGTATTGCGTATACAATGGTGCGTAAAGAATTCTGGTACAAAGCTTTACATATCTCAGTTTTCGTGCACATGTAATCTATCCTTGTTTGCGTACCGTTTCATTTTTTTCAAATTATCGATAATACAAACATAACGGGAGCGCACTAGAGAATCGGGTAAGTCAGCAGAGTGGCAAAGCTAATCTAATTACACGTCACGGCGGTTGAGTTCCTTTGGATTGCAGCTACGTTAAATATATGTGCAAACACGGTCCGAGACGAACAGCGCACCGTGACACGGTGTGAGTTTGAAGTCTGTCTGGAACGCCCGGTGTCGCGTATAATTTACTGAGCTGTATGTATGTATGTTAATACTTTATGTATACGTTGTATGTTGTAGAGTTTTATATAAAAGAGTCGATATCAGCTGTCGTGCTGCGGGTACAAAAGGACGTCGAGTGCAACATAGTTATTTATAGCATACAAAGTAGACTGGTGGAACGGTGAAATGAATACGATGGCCGGGGTCGTGAAACGCTGGGAGTATTCATTTAGATGACGCGTTAAAATAAATTAACATAGTCCTTTTACAACCCTCTCCACCACTATAATAAACATTCGACGTTTGCTGCTTCATTGACCGATATATAATTTGACTGATAAGTGTTGCATTCTAACTGTCAAAGCTGCACGATCGTTGTATTTATCGTCGTTATATTTATATATATAATATATGATGTGTTTTTATATGAATTATATTTTTAGTAGACATATTATAATTTCCAACCAGGCTTTAGTTTATCGTGTATGCATGTATGTATGTATGTATGTATGTATGCATGTAGTAAGTGACATTAACTGTTTGTTTTTTAATTTTTTCACAAGTCGTAGAACAGAAATCATTATAATGATTTTATTTTTTAAATTAGGTGATTAACCCATGTTTTGCAATCGGTAAAATGGTTGAACTTACTCCCAAGTTGCTATATACAGTGCACTATAACTTATATATGATATTTGTGGAGTAGTATATGATTCCATGTTCAATAATATCATACTATAGTTTTAACGCCGTTTACCAATGTACCGGTGTCGCGATCATTACATAAGAGGAGACAAGTCAAATAATCTGCATGTTTCTTGCTGTGAATACATCCATCATCATCTCCGACACATTCTTGATACTCCTACCTCTTTGTGCAAGTAATATGCCACGTGGTGAGAGAAATCCGGGTTTTAGGACAAATGTCTGTTTCGTTGTGCATATATCGGTCATGATTGGTGTTAAATTGGGTTAAACTGCTATTTAGTAAGGTTCGATGCCAACATTCTGATTTCCTGTGCACAGCGTGTTTCCAAGCCTCAGACTACTAAAGGAATGTCTGATCTCAGGGTAATTCTTTGTTAATACCCGGTGTACCATGATATCATGCAATATTTACGTGTTCTCACACTTAATTACTTGTTTTAAGTTCTAGTATTTTCAAATTATTTGAACATTAACGTTTTTTTCTATAGTACTCAATCTCACAACTCAATGCGTTAATTTAATTAGAACTCCAGTTGAATCGAAGCATACTAAGTATATACAAGGCTGAATTTGATACGTCAAAAATACCTGTCAACGAAAATCTGCTCTCTGATTGGTCAGACTGGTAGGGGTCAGGGTTGGGTAGCCAATCAGAAACAATCTTGTTCAAGGTTGAACAAGCTTTACATGAGGATAAACTTCACTCTCATTATTTTTTATTCTCATTATCATGATTTTTTTACGAGTTTTTTTTTTTGAAAGCATGATTGGGCCACTTAATCACTTCTTTATTCCTGTTGTCATGATTGAATCGGCGTTTTAACGGCCTGTATGGGAGAAGGAAAGGTAGGCACGAGGCCCGAAGCCGGAAAACCGGTGCATTTTGAACTGTGAATACATTACTCGCGCTTGCATGTTTTTGGACAGTCGTCTCTTACACTATATTTGGAAAACACAGCGCGGTGTTTTGGCAATAACCCAACTTTCCGTTTCTAAGACGACAGCACACGTTATCCATTGTTCTGACAGCTCTGACCACACAAATAAGGTTACTGGTCGATTCCCGATGAGATGAAACCACAACCTCTCATTCCGAGAACGTCTATGTATGCAGCATACGCACAGTGTCGATATTATTGGATCATGCGATATTGCATGCAAACGGAGTAGAATCGGTAATAACGAAAAATGGTTCAAAGTTAGTTGTTAAATAATAATAATCACGAACGAGTCCAATGTTTGTCTCCTAGCATTGGCAACGCGCAAGTCCAGAGTGTAAGATCAAATCTAAAACCACAGGTCACAGTAAAATAAAGGATATCTAAAGAAAAAATATATGTGTAAATCTCCAAACTTACTCCGAATAATGAATCACGTGACCGAACTCGATATGTCACGTGACTCAAAATAGATGATCAGATGGGAATGGCGACGACAAGGCGCTTCTCGTGAAACAATCAGCTGATAAAATTACGCTATATTGCTTTTAGAATGCAGGTACGAATAACATCCGTGAATAAAACACCTTTGACACCGAGTCTGTTGAGCAAAAGTGTTTGGTTAAATGCACGTGAGATACCCCCTGCCCTCTTCGTTATCATGAATTGTGGTTACTCATTTAATATGTATGATGCGGTGACCTCATGCATTCCAGTCATGATATCTTTGAATAATCATTAAATATGCTATTGTTCGACTTTTTAGCTTATATGGTATGATATGTCAAATAAATGTAGTAACTAACAAAATGAAGTGATATCGATATCAACACGTATGGAAACAAGAATGACGCCTAATTATCGGCCAACAGTTTCTCATCACGGCCCTAACATGATATCTTTGAATAATCATGTAATACTATTGTTCGACACAGTCTAAAGGACGTTTTAGCTTATATGGTATGATGTGTCAATTACATGTAGTATCTGACAAGACGAAATGATATCGATATCAACACGTATGGAAACTAAAATCGTCAACAGTTCCTCCTCGTGATCTCATGGTTATGATATCTTCTTTGGACAACGGACCGAAACACGAGGACCACTTCATGGTTGATGAGAAAATTTAATTGAATTCCATACCCCCTATGATATCTCACAAGTGATGGCGTATATTTAGTTATTTATTTATTACGCAGATCAGCGTAAACTTCTACCTGTAGCATATGAATAGCTTTGATTTAAAACACCAGATGTATCATAATGCGAATGTATTATTTTGTTCAAAACGTACTTGTCTAGAGCAGACCTTATTGCATATCTTGGGAATGTTCAGTATTTCGTCAGAAAATGGATAAATATAGTGCATGAACAATTTGTTGCTCCAAACACTAAATGCGTGAGGTAAAAATTTTAGATGCAAATGAAAACTTATCACGTGCGTAACAACTGAAGGATACATTCGGCTTCAGAAGACAGAGACAACAATTTCATGCAATATGTGTGGAATAATCGGAGCACCACATCGTTAACGCTTTATCGACTAACAGTCTCCGCTCACGGGATAACACCGGCCTATCTCCGTGAAATATACAGGTTCTTACTCAGCGGCGTACTTTAAAAGCCACATGTACAAACATTTTATCTGGTATATAGATATATATACTACTAACAATGAATAATGAAAGCACAATGTGTGTAACCAACCAATAAGCAAGTGACAACAGAATTGTTTAGGTCAATATAAGCTTATACCTAGTCAACCAGGGAAACGACTTTAATTTAGTCAAGCCGAATGCACCATGCACACGATAAGTTGTTCAAGTGTTAAATTTGATAAATAACATAAACACCGTGACCTCGACCTCAAAATACCGTAAAATATTTAATTTTAGCTGGAATTATTTTTTTGGGTGTTTTGTATGGAATTTATTTTAACTGATATCTGACAAGTTGAATGTAAAACATAGGAAAAAAATATATTCGCTGGATTTTATTTTCACTGAATCATTCCTTCCGCCACGAAATACCGAAAATTAATACCAAGCGAAAATAAAGTATTTTACAGTAATACGCATTTAAATATGTTTTAGTCGATCTGCTACACGAGGTTGTGCTACTACTTCACAAACAAATATTAACTATATATTTGTGTTTTTTTTAACTCCCAATTTTAGGGCAAGACCTGTCAGCAAACCAAGATAGTATCGGTGCCGAGGAGACATTTCAGTTAGAATTCGATGAATTCACTGGGAAATGGGCTTTCCGCATTTCAGCTGACAAGTACTGGACGTTGGCTAGCACATCGGGAATTCAAGCAACAAGCACCAATAAGTAAGTTGCTGATGCTGAATTGTTTGAGCTGAGTTACAAACATGACCACGCTCATATTTTAGAAACCACGTCCATTGTTTGCGAAACCAAGCCCAAATTTTAACTCAATTGATAGGTAAAGCGTGGTAGTCGTCGCGCTGCGCATGTGCGAGATATATGGGTCTCATATAAACAAAGATGGCGACTTTGATCAACGAGTACGAATTGAGATGTTTCCAAGCTTTAATTAGGCAATTTTCATGTGATTGGAAGGTATCGAAGGAGTCACCGTCGGTAATCAGTGCAAGTCGCGCCCAGGTCAAACCTCATACTTGTGATTTCCATATGAAGAACGCATTGGATTGTGGGAAAATCAATGTTTATCAACACAAATGTCGCACATGCGCAGTGCGACGACTACCGCGCTTTAACATAACTTCGAGTTATGGGCAACATATAATTGATGTTTTGTTTAACGTTCAAATTTATTGACTCGAATTTGAATTAGCAGGTAACGGAACTTTGAGAAAAAAACAAAGAATGTTGCTATGAAACCCAGATATCGAGATTGAAACAGCAGAATGCAAGTTGTGCGGGGAACATTGAAGCCGAAGCAGCGTCCGATGCTATGCAAATGAGTGTTGTCAGCCTGAGGCGCAACCTCAACACTGTACAAACGCGTCGATTTTAGACTGCGCTGTTTCGTATTTATTGTTTAGTTTAGGCGTAAGATAATAAGTTTATACCGGAATGTACGCCCTCGTGCATCGTACGCTACGGTTTTGTCCTCGGCGCCTCGGTGTCTCGAACGATACCTTCGCTGTACTACGCACTCAGACGTCACGTAATTTCCGGTATTTTGTGTATAACCTCATAATCTCCTAAATCCGGAATCTATTTTTACAATTGATATTCCTAAATCCGCAACATGAAATAGACATGCTGGGACAGTAATTTATCAAATCCGCCCCTCCCCCGCACTTTGTGAAATATAAATCTCTTCCGTAAATATGTTCTACTTTCTCATTGTATTAATCGCGATTACATTCAATTAGATAATGTAACAAATAACTTTAAACACGATCGTTTATTGCCGTAATAAGTTCAACAAGACCATGACTTTTAATCCGGACACTGATACCAAAACACTGGTATCCATCATAGCCAGTGAACAGAATGTACACCGCTTCTAATTCCCCGATCAGGACACTGCCACCAGGACACTTCCATGGCACAACAGGACATTGTCGGCTCTGCAGTGTGTTATGCGATAAACAGACAGTACGCATCATCCAATTCCTTGATCCCGACACTGATACCAGGACTACCGTAGTGCAACAGGACATCGCTGTTCCTGCAGTGTGTTATACGAATAAACAAACTATAATTGCTTTCAATCCCTCATCAAACACTGACCAGGGCACTACATGAATGGGTGCCGTAATTTGGATTCGGACTGACACTCGCGCATACTCATCCATGTTACGGTGATCTCATGGAAAGTTGCCAAATATTAACAGCATTTAGTATTAACTTAAAGGTAGCGTCGATAGTTTTGATAGATCTCACAATCATTATCTTTAAAAGATGGTTATTATAAACTCTCGAGGAGTATTCGAAAAAACAATCTGCACAAAGACAGTTTTATAACAAACTATTTTACAAAATAACTGAAAAATACTTTAATAATACAAATGCTTCACATATGTTGCAGGAAGCCATACAATTGTTTCATCCCAAACAACAATCTAGCTTACAGCAACTTGCACATTTTTTCGAGATGTTCTAATGTTAACTCACACTGTATAATTTCACGTCTGGCAAATTACTCAATTTACCACAAAATGACGTCACTAATCTGTCATGCATGTCAATGATGTAATTATGAGAATATATGGAATACGTTTCGATTATTATTTTATTTGCTCACATATCACGTTTTATTACCCATTGCAAGTTTCGTTTGAAAAAAATGGCTGAAAATGCGTAAAATAGGCGTATTTGGAATTATTTCCATAGGAATCCATGTAAAGCATTATTTAATATACTAGTAGGGGGTGCGCGACCTGGGTCATCGCTGTAATGTACATATGATAAGCCCCACATGGGTCAGACGTCTCCACTAAATAGTTAATAAAAAGGACAGAGACATCTAAATGTCTATTAATAAAAAAAAAATAAACATTAGTTTTTTAAATTTTGATTTAAGAGGAAAGGTTTGTATTATTATGGGCGTACTATGTCCATGGTATTATCAACCGGGTCAAGGGTGTATCAGACCGAACAGGAGAACACGGAACTGAACTTTGAAAAACCACCAGTCGCAATCGCGCGTGTTTGTGAACACCTCTGTACAGCAAGGTGATATGCATCTGCCGAGATATGCAATGATGTCGCCGGTGTACACGGTAACGCTGTGACAGTTGATCAACTGATCTCGGCTGGGACATACTGTCTTCGCTGCGAAAACTACTCCCATGCTACAGATGCGCCCTCTTGTGACTAGTCTTTCCATCGCGTATACGAGTATTACTGTACGACAACGTCGCTATTGTTTTGATCTGCGATCGCGCATTTTTCACAAATCATGAACGACTGCGCAACAAATGTAAAGCTTACTCCTGAATACGTCACTGGAAGTCGCGAATTTGGTCGGATAATTTGTGGAACAGTGACAGAAAATATCATGATGCAAGTCAGTTGTCAGCTGTCCCTGACAGCCTGAGGAAGCTCAATAATTAATACCGATAAGCAGTATCGTGTAATCGGAAGTTTGTTCACCTGCGTTCATGAGTTACTAAATGTGGATGAAAGCTATCACGTGACAGTTAACAAATCTCATACTGTGTCACAGTACATATCCGTTTTAATATAATCTTCTTTGAAATATGTATCATTAATAATAGAGGGCGCATGTCTAATAAATTAATCGGATGTTGGGCTATTAAATATGAAATACAAGGCTTTGTTCTTATACTTGATGCGCGCCAGCGATTGTTTCGTTTATTCAGAAGCGGTTGGTTGTCGCTATATGGAGGAGGATGAGACTTGCATTCATATTCACGCAGTTTCTCTAATATATATTGTGGGAATGTGATCTTACGAACGTTGATGGCGCTTTTTATAGAATTTGCTTAGTTCGCCCACAGTCCCTCAACACCGGTGTTGAGGGACTGTGGTTCGCCATATAGTTTCTATTAAAGAACAGATAAAAGATTGATAATTCAAAACCACGGGGATGTCTTGTTTATTTATGTATTTTCATGTGACGTTTTAAGGAACTTATTGACTTTGAAATATAGTCCCATCGATCTATAGACGGATCAAAAACCATTGGGTGAGCGAAATTGTGCTGACTTGCAAATTATGCTCATCATTACTTTACTTCGTTTTACCTTTCCTACTTCCACAGAAATTCACCGGAAGCACTATTCCAAGTGGAATACCACGGCAAGCACATTGCACTGAAGGCAAAAAACGGCAAGTACGTGACATGCAAACCCAGTGGACATCTCTACGCCTCGGCGGACGTCGCCACTGACAAAGAAATGTTCCTGTTCAGGTTGATCAACCGCCCTCTATTGGTGCTGCGTGGAGTAGATGGATTCGTGGGTGTGAAGTCGTCATCCAAGTCCAACAAACTGGAGTGCAATTGTTCCAAATATACACTGATGCATTTGCTATACAACGACGGTAGATATAAGTTAAAAAGTGAGTACTGTATTGCTAATGCATTAATTCTTAGTTATTGCACTCATTTACCGGTACATTCACTGTTTCGTGTTTCACGTAACCACATCGTCTTTGGAACAATAGAGGTGATATGGGGGGGACAAGTCTCACGGCACTCTCGCTTATAACGAGAACTTGGTGGCCATTAGCGTGCAAGATCCATTTTAGGAAAGCTGTATTGTAGCGATTCCTCATCTCTCAATAATCCATTTTAATAAAATGTATATTCATTAATTCCACAGCTTCTGGAGATAAGAGCTGGGCCGTCGATTCACACGGAGATGTGTCAATAGATGGCGCTAACTCCGGAGATTTCATCCTGGAATTCCATCGCGAGAATAAACTCTGTATTCGGGCTCCTAACGACAAGTACATCAAAGGTGAACAGAGTGGCATCTTCAGAGCAAATGGCTCGGAGGTGAATGAATCCACTATGTGGGAATATTAGGTTATATAGATCAGACAATGGTAATTAGTTCAAGTTCACATCCGCTCTCATCAGCACAGCCATTTTTTCCACGAATAATGCCGGAACAGAGTCAACAACTTGAACTTGGAGCAAGAACGTTGATCATGAGTGGTTAAAACCCCACGGTCGTCACAAAGCGGTGCGCGTTCAATTTTCCTGTAAACAATGTTAATGCATGTGTTTTTCGTCGCGTGGGACCCGTCGCGATGACTGTGGTGTTTTAACATATTAAGAGAGAAAGAGAAACCGTTGATTAAGTTGCGATTATTAATATATATCTGCTAGTTTTTTTGTCAACTACTATATCTTACTTAGTATTAAAAAAAAACTTTAATCACTGAATAAATAATCAATTACCGCTCATTTCAGTCAACAACCTATATAGAATAATTATGAAAGATACATCTTATATTCACAGATGGAGTTCTATCCTATATTTTTAAATATTGCGACTAATATGTAATGTATGGATCAGTCTGACAGCTATCGGTATGATGTATGTGCATCAGTAGGGTAAAACTTACCTGTCCCACGACGGTCTAATCCCAGCTCACGATTGCATATCGATTACAATGAAGGACGGGCGCCAACGCGCTCTTTTATATTTTGCAATCATCGTATCATTTAACAGCCTCGAAATATAACCTAGTTTTTTAATATTTTATTTTGTCTTCGAATTCTTGTTGATTTCTTTATCAATTGCATATCGCAGCTCTGTATGTGTGGGCTTTTTATATACAAACAATATAACTTACGATGTGCAACTAATGAGGGCAACAATCACATGCGTTAGAAAGCGCAGTATCCGTATTATTCCAATACCACTTGGATATTTCGGAGTGTGGTTATTTTATGTATTTTATTTTTTATTTACTAGTAATTAATTGTGCAGCTTGCTGAAACCAGAATCATCGCCTTAGATATCGCTTTTCATGGTCTATGGCTAAGAAAACAACAACTAATAATTCCACGCGCATGCCCATTTGCGCCATCGAATATTTGTTGCGTGCATTTACGATAAACCCTGTGTCTAGTTATCGACACTTAACATCTTGAATTCTAAAGTTATTTTCCATATTTATGTAAATTGCATGTTTGAATTCTAAATTTATTTTCCATATTTATGTAAATTGCATGTTTCACTCATTATTCTAAATATTGGGGCGTGGACAAAGTTTATGGGTGCTTGTTTTTTCTTCTTTTTGTTATAACAAATTTGTATGTGGTCGCTGTCGATGGTTATGAAGTGTATTCTAGTGTAGCATAAACCTATTGGTATATAATGCAATAATCAAAATTAAGTGTACATGCGGGAACATGAAACAGTAACATTAAAAAATATATATATTTTACGGATTCCTTCATGTCGGATTTTTTCTATATTTTATGAAAGTATGGTTATTTGTCAATTGCAACATTATATACTTGATTTGTTTGTGTTTACTTGCTTTAACGTATGCTACCAACACATGGCGCAAAATATGCGTCACGTTTGATTTCTCGGATAATTTCTTATACGTTTATATTAATGTTGAAATGTTTTGTTATAATTGCTTGTGTATGTTCGGATTATATTAAATCGAAGGAGTGCATAGCAATAAAATGTCACGTGACTAAATTGATGATGTATTTTGGTTGTATATTAATGTCCGTGATGCCGATACAATATCGTTATTAACACGTAACTCGGGGCTTTGATTTACTCGCCCTCGGGTCATGTCGGCTAAACCCTTTCCAGGGTTATTCTTTGTGCAAACATGCCTGGCCCTGTGAGTAACATGGCAAAGTAGCCCTGGGACATGTACTAGTTGTATGTTGTGTCGCGTAGCCTGACATGTTGCGCGCTACGTGCATTTAGCGGTATATACAAGCTGCACATCATACGGGAATGGACAGCCGGGCACGACTACTACGTTACTGGTGTTTTGATGGTTGTGATTCATAAGTAAGTTATGTATTACGTGTACGCAACCTGATAGTGACAGTGGGTGCCCCATTTGGAATTCTGGGGTGGGCATGGACATTTTGGGAAAAATTATTGCAAACATATATTTACTAGTAAGAATGCAAACAATGTGTGTTTTAGAAAAAAATAACATGCAAATTTGATTTAACAAAATGTCATAAATTAAGTGCATGATGAAATCATCTGTCATCCTGATACGATAATGCATATTGCCTACCAACGTTCACAATTCTATGACGATCTCAAACAACTGATGTCACATAAATACCCTGGACAAAATACCCTAGACAAATAGACAAAAAGAACAGCGAACTGCCCATAAATAGAGACTGAATTTTTAAAGTGATCCACAGACGAAAAACTATTTTGCTGGAATTTAATATGAACTGTAGAAGTATTCAGTAGATGGGTTACTTGTAAGGCAGAAATAACGTCAAGTGAAACTGATCACATTAAATACGAAGGCATGTAATAATAACATTACAGCACTGTCACAAGTTAGTAATACTTTTTTCGAGCATTTGAAATGTAAATTCGACACATGTTCTTAGGCAGATACGTTAGTAGCTAAATATTCGTCAGTGATATACATAGTACGCATTCTCAACTCACTCTCATGAATGATCAGTCAGTCAACGCTATATTATATAGTGATAATACATAAACAAACAAAAAATATTGCAGTATGGTAACCATCAAAATATTAGACAAAATATACGTACCGAGGTAAGTCAATGACATAGTCCCCGATTTTGTTTTTTTCATTTTGTGTGTGCAATTAAAAAAAGAAAGGCGTAGGATTACAATTCAAAGCTGGGAAGTAATTAGCATGTTAAAATTTCGGTATTACTTCAACTGGAACTTGTGCATTTTTTTAGACCAAGCGAAAACTTTTGGGAGTAGATTATCGCATCGTACAAAATTGTATAATCCACAGTAAGATAGTTTTGAATGAAATCAGCCTAGGCAGCCACAGACAATGTGTGATTCAAAACCAGGTTGTTAATCAGGTAAATGGGCACGTATCGCGTATGAGTGTTGAACGCCTTACGCTCAAATGGGGTAAACGGTGTCACATGATAAATAATATTGGGTACTCGTCGTTAACATTTCGTGGCCGCTATTATTTGTCACGCCTTTAATCGGCTTGCTAAACGCTAACCTGACATGTAGGCGTGAGTAGACCCTGGCCGGCCAAACGGCATCAGACCTCACTATGTTGGGTTTGGATCACCGCGGAGGGCGCAACTCACGAGACCTGAACAGGCTAGCTAAACGCGTCCATGCAACGAAATGATTTGCTATAAGTAAAAGAAAACAGGAGGTATCATCATGTTTGTATTGGTATATGAACCACAGCACTCAAAGATATAAAGGTTGTCTTCTGTGATATCGATTATTGTCGATCATTATGCGATGACCGCGATTGGTAACGGATTTGAGAAACGGTAATTCCCCATGTATAACCCTTTTCGAATATCATTCTCAAAACATAATAATGAAGACTGGTGTACAAACTTTTCATCTGTGTGAGTTTGCAATACATTCTCATCTGTATTGGCAATATATTATTACATTTGACGCACCAGCCAATGACAATATACTAATATAAAAACTCGAAATTTGAAGAAAATTGGAAATTCTGAAAAAGCTCCTTTGGTGTTATTGTATTTTCTTTGGCTCGCACACCAAATGTATGGTGGCTATCACTGTGTATCTGACAACATAATCAACATAATTGTGCGACTGTGTAGAAAGAAAAAAAAATGAAAAAATGTACAGACAAAACATTGCAAAAAAATACACTGGTCACGTTCTTCCAGCCACCCCATGATTTCAAAAGTTTGACCCCTAACACAGACCATAAAGCTAAAAAGTCACCCCCAAATCAAGCTGAAACGCTCCGTGTCAGCACCCCCCCAAAATGCAGAAGGGTCTAGATTTCAGCCTCGGTCTCCCTCTCCCCCCCCCATGCAAAATTTCGTGCCGTCGCCTCTGGATTTGTTTATTTGTTTCAAATTTTGCCATGGCAACTGGTTTGTATCCATATGAGTGCGTTTAAACTAAACTAGCTTGGAATGTTCAGTTTAGCACATTAATGCGTCGGCGGGAGAATATGTGTTACCGTTCAGTGTGACCTTTTTTAACGCCGAAGTTTGAGGCTTCCTTGTTCAGATAGAAAAACGTGCATAAAATAGTAACATCCAGTTGCGTTGTGGTAATATATATCTGTATGGCTCTCCGCCGTTATGTTAAACTATTCAGTGACGTGGTTATTTATCTTATATTTTATCTTAAAACCGGTTACCATATGTATCGGGTCATGTAGCCCGTCAGCCAACGACATGTCTGCATTACCGGTATGTCCAGGAGCTCTTGCATAATGAGCAATTAAGAAATCGGTCTGCGCATGCTCGGTCTCGCCAGTAGCAACACCAAAACACATCCGCCATCTTTGGTATGGTGTGGTATTCACAGCGAACGGTAGATAGTGTTACTGTATTTTAACAGTATTCGTCGGTTTCGAGTGGAAAACATATCTATTGAATACCGTCAGTGGACACATAGATATCTAAAACCATGGATCGAAGGCGACGAAATATGGAAGCTCAGATGGAACAAAGGTAGGAAGCATTAGTTATCAGAAACGATCGATTGATTGAGCTCAGCTCAGTGTTGTTTCTGACAGCTTTTGTCAAAAAGCGTGAAAGCCGTCAGCAAAATCTCCGATGTTTTATATTGCTGTTGAATTTTATAGCTCACCAGATACAATGACCCTAGAATAAACGGTCAAATGATACCTCCAGCCAGGCATTTCCATCGTCCAAGAAAGATACTCAGGCCTCTTTTCCTTTTAACACGATTACAGTGCTCGTGGTACCGTTATTTTGTAATTGTTTGCATTGGTTGAACGCGGTTAACTGACAAAATCGTATACGTTGAAAGTATCAAATATGCACACTGATATGATGTGTATAATTTAATAATTACAACACACTACTCCTTATCCAACTTGTACGAAAAGATATTATTTTTACCATTTCTACTGGTTGGCAATTTAAAATATCAATTACTACAAAAGGGATATATAAAATACAGTTTTATCATTCAAAAAAAATGTACACGTGATTTGTATAACTATTAATATTCATTAATACAAAATGAATTGACCAACGTAACGCAAGACTGTCAATACTAATAAATGGACAAAATATTTACTGCTTACCAGTGATTCATCTCTTTTTATTTTGGAAACCATTTAGGTTGTTTGTTACACCATTATCAAATTCTTTGCAGTTGTCATAAAAAAATAGTCATTTCCGTGTGTTTACCTAATCTCAAATGACGTCATGTTGAATATTTCACCTATTTATTTCATATAACACTGCTTTGACCAATCACTTCACTTCACTGCAACATTAGTGTTGTGGTTAGAATCATTAGAAATAAATTTTCATAATACTGAGTGAATCAACCCTATGAATGTATACCAGAGGTTCCTCACAGTTAGTTCTGCTTTATTATCATTGACCCTCCGCCCATGCTATGTATTTCTATACATCAGTGATACAATTATATAGCAGCGAGGCAATACATTTTTGTACCTCACCAGTCAATGATTATAAGCCACTGACGTTAGAAGGCCTTGCGATTCATATTACAGACTATAAAATGTGTGTTTACGGTATATACAAAATTTATATGCTTATAATACGGCATAATATTCGCCCCCAGACATGCGCTGTATTAAAGCGTGGTGGTCGTCGCACAACTTGTGTTTGAATTTCATGTAAATAAACAATGTATTTTACACGTGTTGTATACGTCGCTATGAGTCCTCATATTGAACAGGATGCGGCACGACGACTGCTGCCCTTTAACAATAAGTCTTAGAACCTTTAAGTTTAGACTGGTGTTACTGTATAGCTCTTTATAATATCAGGCTCTGCTATTAAAAATTCAGAAGCAATCGCAATAGCCAAACTTGTTTAGCACACATTTTTGCTGCCCGGAGAAGCCTGGTCACACTGGTCGCCAATTCGAACTCGCCTGGATGAGCATTGCATGAATAAGGTGCCCCATTAGCAGGATTTTAAATTTTCCGAATGTGTATATGGCCACAACAGTGATTAACCAGGGTAGCACATTCATGGTTATTATGAACATTACATATGTTTTAAAGTCACCTCAATGTATTGCCAGTAATACATGTATCTTCTGCTCAACACACATGCTTGATTCTTTTCATAATTACTTACCAGAGCTGAGCAATCCCATATTGTGGAGGAGCTGGATGAGCAAGAAGAAGAGGAAGATGATGCAGAAGAGGAATTAAACTTTCAGCAAGAAGAAGAGGGGGGTGAAACAGAAAGGAGTAAACACGATGATATCAGGTGAGTTTGATCATAGGTGTTTCTCATGGTAATAAAATTACTATGCTTCTATTGAATCTTACTGAAGTAATGCATACTTTTTGTAGCTCTTTAATACATGATTATAGTAATTGACAAGAATATCATCTTATAGAACAGAAACATGGCAGCCATCTTCAATATTATTATTGTACTATCACTGGAAATAGTCAGTCAAAATTTAAGCACTTCTTTTTTGAATCAGCATTTCAATTCTTGAAGCACCTTACTTGTGCCATGAGTGATCTGTCTGACTTTAGACTTTCGGATACAAGTACCGGTATATTGCTTTTTAAATGTTTTAAATATAAAATAAGTACCTTTAGTTTATTTAATGCATTGTGATACCAGACCCCAACACACTTCACTTGTTTCCTTGACCTAATATGTGACAAATCAGTTGAGAAGAATAGTTAAAATCTAAATAGTTATTATACATTTCAGCTGACTGTTGTCATCTGTACCCATAAGTCTCTTTCAAGAATAGACCATCTACGAATATTAAACATATCCT